TTTTTTTTTTTTTTTCTCGGTGGCAACAAGTGACTAAGATGTGTTTTTCTTAAATTTTATCTAGTACCATTTTCTGTCGGTGGATTTATATACTCTTAAAAAAAAAATAAAAAAAAAATAAAAATAAAAATTGCCACCCCAGCCCCAACCCCCATATTATCTTTATTTTTGCTTATAGATTTTAGCTTATCCTGCTTGGTGTAAGCTTCCTTTTTTCAGCTCTATTTTATCTTTCTTTGGATCCCAAAACTGTATTTTCTTTTCTTGTGGAGGATAAAATATGCATGTCATTGGAGAGTATGGGATTCTTGCTATGGCTTATAAGTTATTACATTGTGGTATTTGATCCATGTAAGAATGCCCAGTAGTGCTTTATTCTGTTATTTTAACTTTAGCATGATTTTCACCACTTCTTGCAACACTTGGATTGTAAGTGTGATTGGGAATTTCGGGATGTGTTGTGATGCCTTTTTTTATTAAAAAAATAAAATAAAATAAAAAATAAAAAATGCAGGCCTCAGTACAGTTTAGGCCACAAACCAGAGATCTTGGTATGGTAATGAGAGAGGTAGATGAAGATCTAGCTATTTTCTTGGGGATGCGAAGTGCCGTGGAGAGAAATGACCCTCCTGCCCCTGTCAAACCTGATGATGACTTTAACAAATCAAAAGGTAGATGAAGATCTAGCTATTATCAGAAGTTTGATTTCTGTATTTGTGTCAGCATATTTGTAAGAACTCAGTGCAATGCAGTTGTATTGTATGTTAACTTATCCTTTTACTCTTCCTTTTTTCTTTTTCGAATGCTAATAAAATGCGGTTATGATTCATGTCGACTTGTGTATTCATGTATGGACTTAATCTTGCAGATTCGAAGCCAAAACCCAATTGCTTGTTGCCCGTGAACGCTACTCGAGAACATAGTGTCCCGATTGCAGCTGAAAAACATGATTATAATCGGTAAAGTTCATACGGGTGCAACTTAATTTTCTGCTTTTAATAGTATGTGATAAATGTCCTTTTGTGACTTTGCCTATGTGACTGATATTGTCATAACCTTGATAGTGAAGAAGTTCTTATTAAATAGTTTGTAAGCAAAATTATCGACTGCCTTTAACTGCTTGGACGAGCATTTTCACCTCTTTTTTGTCTGAAATTTTTTGTTTCAATTCCATTTTCTCAGGCAACCCGATTCTTCTTCACTCGATCCGGTAGAGGCAAACGAAACTCCCAAGGGTGACTTGATTTCAGTGAAATCGGAGGCAAGTAGCAATTTTTTTTTTAAAAAACAAAAAATCTTCGGAATTCGACATTTTGCTCCAAGATTGAACAAAGTATACATATATATATATATATATATATCTGAAAATAATTCTATCATATAATTCACCAAACAGGTAGAAAACTCCTCCGAAGAATCCAATCCCCCGAGCGAACAAAACCGGCCATCACCAACGAACACAACTCCATCCTTCGGGCCCAACAAAAGGCCTTTATCATCATCATCATCATTATCCGGGCCCCACCACAAACCCTCTCCAAGACCCTCGACTCCCACCTCTCGACCAACAAAACCGAGGCCCTCACGAGGACCCACATTGCCTTCTTTTCCCTCCAAACCAAGCTCACGCTCTTCCACTCCTAATCCCTCGAGGCCCACTCGCGGCAAACCGGTCCCCGCAAGGCCCGCTTCTGCATCCAGAGGAAGGGTGAGTAGGCCCGAAGAGAAGCCCAACAAACGGCAACAAAAATCTTGCTCGCCTCCGAAAATGCGGGCCCCGGCCCAAATCGCGGGCCGTCAGAGGGCTCGTGTGGGAAATAACGACGGAAATGAAGTGAACCCAGTTTTGATGGGCGCGAAGATGGTGGATAGGGTCGTGAACATGAGGAAGTTGGCCCCACCTAAGCAAGACGGGAGCTTTTCTCGAGATAATTATGGTTCGAGGAAATCGGGTTTGGAGAATTCGGGTTTCGGGAGGTCGCTGTCGAAGAAGTCGTTGGACATGGCCATACGGCATATGGTATAATAGTACTATATAGTTACTCTTGAGCTTATTTTTTGGGGGAGCAAAAAGAAAGAACAAACAAATGAACAAAGGAGCATCGGCTAGATATTTTTTCGTACTTTTGAAAGATAGATAATGCTGAAATGTGATAATATAATGCTGACAAGTTTCTGTTTCTAACAGGACATTCGACGAAGCATGTGCGAAAAATAGTTGCGCACCGAGAATATAACACAGCTGGCATTCAAGAATCTTTTACTTTTGTCGAGATGAAATGAACTTTCGGGAAGAGTTAAACGCTTGTTGACTCTCGAAGATGTTTGAATGCAACACGGTTTAAGGAGTTCGTGCGTGGGCTAGTGTATTGAGTATCGAGTATGGACATATTGCATTTGGACATGTTGAAGTTTTTTTTTTAAGATGATCCTTTTGCAATATTGGTGTGTTTTTGCAGATGTACTTGTGCACTTTGTGTAGTTTGTTTATGATGAGACTGCGTATAAGTTATAGTTTATGCAGAATTGGAGTGGTATTTGTGTGTTGAACAGTTGGAAGTATCTAATATTGTTATTGACTTATGTCGCATCTTTAGCACGAGTCACAATATTATGGATAAATGGTTATTGTTTCTGACATGGGCTGATTAAATGGGCCGGATCAGCTGGAATTTTTGTAAGCCTATTATTGATAAATAGAAGATTGGCTCCACTATGGAGTGATATTGTTGGCTTAAATAGAATTGATAACTAGAAGATAAATAGAAGGTCGGCCAACATTGAATTGATAACTTAAATAGATCAGTTGGCTCCATGGGCTGATAACAATACCCAACCCAACTGTACAAGCCGACATATTTTGCTATTCTTTTTGTTATTTTTATTTGCAAGGTTTGATAAATTATCTCCAATGCAAGAATCCAAGAAGCGCATTTAAACATCCTCTCGTGCATGTCATGTGGGTGCATATATAATGACTGAAAATTAAATTTCAGTTTCTGTGAGGATTCAAGTGACAACAATTAACATTTTAGGGACGTAACTGAAATTCCACTTATGTAACGGAGAAAAGTAAATGGACGTGACTGAGCTCGATTAGCTTATAAGCCTTTTATTTCAAGCATTTAGGTACCAATTAGATTGTGAAGCTTCATAATATCGTTTTCATGCACCTAACAGCTATCAGCAAAAGAGAAGACGAGCGTATCTCTATTGGGTAAAGGAAATGAAAAATGGGAGACAATTAATTGTTCTGCTATCTGGACACGTAACTATCTATCTATAAGAGATGAAAAAAGGGAAGACAAATTAATTGCGATTATATGTTGGGTATATATAAAGTAAGCAATTCAATGTTGGCCGACCACAAGAATCTTCACTCTCCAAGATAACGAATTTATTTCATCTTAATTGCCTTATAACTTTTTTATTTAAGTAAAATTTGTTGATAGGATTCCAAAATTAATTGACTAGCCATTAGTTAAATTATCAGTTAATTATGGAGGTATTTTTAGCCTAATCAATTATGAAGGAGTTTTTAGCCTGATGTACTATAAGTAAACTTGACAAATACAGTAATCAAATCCTAGGAACTCTAAATTTCAAATTGATAAATGTTTATAAAATTAAATAGTATAAATAAATATGCACGTTCAAGTATCATACTTTCACTTGTGCATTGATTTATTCCTATTATGGCAAAATTGTCACTTTCCCGTGTAGATCCATTAATTAAAGAACTCCCTTATTATTATTATTATGCTTGTAAACAGAGTCGAGCTCGAGTTTAGGGTGTTCGAGCTCGAGCTTGAGCCTTTAATGAGTCTAAAATTGAGCTCGAGTTTGACTCTTTTATCACCAATAACGCGTCGAGTTCGAGTCTTAATGAACCAATCTTGAATTTTAACAAACCAAATTATAGAAATTTATATAAAATTATCTATTCAAACCTTATCGAGCCAAGCCGAACTTGTCTCGTTAATAAAATGAACTTTAAATTAGCTCCAACTTAATTCATTTATCAAACAAAACCCAAGGCTAATTTAACAGCACTACTTATTATCATGTCACAAAATATTCCTAAATGAATTGAAGAGAGATTACAATAGGCACGTGCGGAAGAGAGGAATAAACGTTCAACCCATGTGTTGGCTTGGGCCCACAGCCCATATCTGCCCTAACAAATTCTTGGTCAAAAAAAATTTATTGGACTAATAGTAAACTAAAACTGGAATTCAAAATTTCATATCCCAATCATAAATGGCAATAGTATGAATTAAAAACAACAGGTCAAAACTAATAGTACACACTTTTGCTTAATCAGACTGTACTAATACAATCAATCACCCCAAATTTTCATCACGCTAGCTCACCTAACATCTTACGTAAATATAAAAACACATTTTTCTTATAAAAAATTTTTTAAAAAAAAGCCACACATCACTTATAAAAATAAAATATTTCAAATCTCCCCATCTATATTACAAGGTACAGAGGAGTAGAAAAAAATATTGTAGATTTAGATTAGTTAAATACTGGCGCCTAATTGAGAGAATATGGGCCATTGGATCAATGGTGTGATGATAAAGGCGGCAATTGATGGGCCGGCACTGGAGGCTTGCACTGATAGCACTTTGCAAAAAGCCCAAATGTGTCGACCTGTTTGACAAAATTGGTCACGCTGGCCCAACCTCCGAACCCAAAGCCCACGACAAATACCCATATCACGACGAATGTGTTCATAGCGTACATAGCTGTCCAGCTCGGCATAAAAGGAGGAGGCTTCTCAGCAGCATTCTGCAATTATTGAAAAAAATATTTAAATTAAAAACAAAATATTTCTACTTAATTGCAAATTTCACTATAAACATTTGTAGAATTACATACAAAAAATTGATCATATATATTTAATTGTATAATTGTTCATATGAGAAATTTTTCTTGGCCAACCTACAGATTTTCAACAGTATTGTGTACATGGAGCTAGTATTTGCCACTTGTTAATGCCAATTAAGAAAATAACAAGATCTAGAGAATTGTAAATGATGGAAAGTTTATGAAATAACAAGATAGCATCATAATTACTATTGATAGGATCATCACAAATTCTTGCACTAGACTACTAACCATTAAGCTGATCTACTCGTCATATATTTTATTTAATAAAATGCATACTTATACTATGAAATATCATACATTTTTTCTAGAATATATTATTTTAGTTTGAAAGTGTACAAATCTATTGAAAAAGTACATGAACGAATAATAAATACTTACAACTAAGTATTTTTAAGAGATAGAGAAATTAAAGAGACATGAACCATATATCCGTTAGTTCACTAAGCTGTCCATGGGGTTAGGTAAACTTTAGGCCATATTGATGTTAGAATATACCAAGAATTAAAGCTTATTATATACATTAATTTAGTCACTAACCTAACTCGAATCAAGAAATTATGTTCATGTAGGTCTAAAAAATGGGTCCTTTTTCTTTGGGGCGACCCATTTGGCAACTAGGAGCCAGCTCATATTGTACATAATACAACTTCAAGAGTATAGCATATAACTAAATTGAAAATGACTCACCACCTATATATTCTGGTCCAACCAAATTTTCCTAGCCCATGCATTTAATGCTAATGTCTTAAGCTTGTACCATCAATTTTCCAATAATAATAATAATAGTAACCCAAATTCTTGTATCATATCCTAACGATTAGGCGGGTCGACCAGTCATACTTTTTGAACAAGAATACATACTCATACTGAGAAGTTCTATATTTTGGTTGTGGTGTTTTCCAAATTAAATGTCTTTTGTGTATAAAAGTATGAGTATCTGTTGAAAAAGAATGAATGTTTAACCGTTTGACCTAACTAACAGTAGCACTATTGTAATAATAACAACAATCTAATTTCTATGACTCCATAGTTCTTCATAGATTCATTTTCAAAGAAATTCAAATTGTGAAAATGTCGATAAAGCGCTTAACTTATTTATTGGGAAAAAGTCGAACAATATACAATATCAAAAAAATAATATTTTTACCTGGCGAGCAGTGGCTTTTCTATAGGTGAGCATGTGGGCCAAGGCCGGGATAATGTATACGGTGAAGCTCACCAAGAGGGCCCCGACAGCTGAGTTGATAGGGCCAAAAAATGGGAAGATGATAGCCAGAAACCATATTGGGATCACCACTGGCAGACGAGCAAGTGCCCTCAGGCAGATGCTCTTTGTGTCGTGCATCCCAATCACCTTCTCCCACACGAAGTAGAGTGGCGTGCATGCAAAGCCGAATGTAATAAACTGCACGTGTTAAAAAAAATAATAACTACCATGCTTGTTAGTGCGAAATGTTACACTAAAATTTTATTTTAATATAGCAATTGATATAAAATGATAGGTGTACGAATTGTTGAACTTAAAAATAATATTCAGGAAAAGGTGGCGAGTAAGTGTACGAATTGTTGATTTTAAAAACATTATTTACTAAAATGGTGAGACGATATGAATACACAGGCTCATGTGAATATTGTTAATCCAATGGTTAAAAAAATGGTGAGATTATTAATTTGCTATTTTCGGACAAACATATATTTCTTTTATCTATATTTAGGCAATTAATTTTTCTTTTAGAAAAGAAATAAAAAAATAACCTGATGAATGAGCATCAAAATAACGGCGGCGTCTCGCCAGCCGGACTTTGGGAGGAGAGAGAAAGCATTGGAGTGGTTAAGAAGTTGATCTCCGAAGGCCCAATAAACGGCAGAGGCCGACGGTATGGTGAGGGTGAAAACGTAAAGCGTGGCCGCCAAGTAAATGTACTTGAACTTTTGAGGTTTCCACATCGCATGCATAATTTCTCTGTTAAATAAATATAGTTGTTTAACTGTTAGACTTATCATATATTATTAGTCTTACTATAAAATATATGGGTAAAAGCATAATAATAGTGAAAAGGTAAAAAGCAAAATTTAATTTTCTACATCACACATGATGGCAGAAATCTAACAACCAATTAGTACGGTATTCTGTTTAAAACTGGAAAATACCGATCAATTATTGAAACTGTGATGGCAATAGTACTTTCAGATGATGTAGGTGAAGTATAAAATGGCCAAACTACCCTTTTATACGACTTGTTAACTAAATTACTTTATAAATTAAAACAAACTTAAGATCTGGTATAGAGTGTTATACAAGCTAGTCCAATTGAGCTAACCGTACTTGTTTAATGAATGAATTGACTTTGTTCAACCCTTTTAATTGAACTTCAAACAACTTATTCATGAATAAATTTAACTCGACTATAATATTTAAAATCTATAAAAATTAGTAAAATACATAAGAGTTGTTTGTGGCAAGTTCGGCTAGACATATTCAATAAACAACCTCCATTAAATATTTAATTTGTCTCACATCGAATAACTCCATTTGTTTAAGCTATAATTGGCTCGTAGAGTTGGGTAAGCTAGATGCCCTTTCTTCAACAATTTTTTATTTAATTTTCCTTTTTAAATGTTGAAAAAAAAGGTAACTTGTATGATTATGTCGGTATTCACGGTTCACGAGGTGGCCGGCAAAAGCTGTAAATAGAAGCTCAGAAGAAGAAGATAAACTATGTTTTAAATATTTTATTTAAAAAAAAAATAATGAAAAGAACACTTAACTAAATTAACATGAGATAAAAAAAAAATAGCTTACACAGTCACAGCATGTCCGCCAAACGTGTACAGTATGTTAGTGGCGCCGGTGAAGTAAAGGACCAGCTTCTTTGGACCCGAATGCTGAACATCCTCAGCCTATGTTTTTTTCCAAAACATAAAAAAATAAAGAAATTTTTTAAAGCAAGATAAATAAAAATAATGTAATACTGGAAAATTGTATTTTTTTTTTTTTATTGAGTAATTTTACTGTACATGCCTTTAATTTGTTTTAAAGCCAACTAATAAATGCAAAGATAGAATATAGCCACTTCTTGTTAAAATACGAAATAATAGTCATTTTATCTCTAAAATGACATAATTATTCTTACTGTCAAGTCGATCCCAAATTTTTAAAAACGATTTCCGATAGTAAAGATAATTGTGTCATTTCACAAGACCAAAAAGACTATTATTTCATACTTCTTCAAAAGTGTGTGTGTGTTTTTTTTTTGAAAGTTAAATGGCCATATTACCACTTTTACTACATTAGTACAAACATGATATGATAAAATTTTGCAGCAATGAATTTATACCTGGCCATGAACAAGGGCTGCTATAGTCAAGTACCAAGCAGTGTAAGTGGTCATTCCAAGTCCTAAAAAGGACCAAATTCTGTAATTGTGAAAAGAGGGAATGAAAACAGTTGTGGCACAGCAAGCTCCAAATATGTATGTCCATGTCCTCTTGTCCAGGTGGTCATTTATGTAGTAAATGTTACTGCAAAACAAAACCANCCCTCTGAGTAAATGGATAATGAGATTAACAAGAGCAGGCTATAGAAAAAGTAAAGTGAGATTAGCCACTTGTGTTTCATTCACAAATTATTTTCAGAATGGTAATAGAACACAAGTGCAGTTAAAGGCTAAACCCACTGCTTTCCAGTAAGGACCTAGCAATCCATCTAGCACCTCAAACCACTGCATTATTTATATTTTATACCCAACAAAAAAAAAAAACATCTATTCAAAGATAATCATATAAATCAATTTAAAGAACCATAATTAAAATCAATTTCTTATGAAGATTAATCTTAATATTAATGAACCTGAATGACATGATTTTTGAAGCTATGGCCCTGTTTTTCCTTTCTCACTCGATACTCGATGTACAGTACGCTTATTAGGTAAGCTGTCCAGCTACCGACCAATCCATAAAACACTTGGAAAATAATCCCAGATAACATTCCAAGTTGTGAGAATGAATATGGCAGTGTTAGAAGCACTTGTGCAACCTTCAAATATTTTTCAAAAAAAAGAAAAAAGAAAAACAAAATAAATGTTAGAATATCACTTCACAGTAGTTCTCCTGGTAATAATAGTTCACACAGTTTATAACAAACACGAAATTGAAAGAAAATATGAAATATTGATGATATTTAAGGTTAGTACTTGATTGGAAGCGCAACTGAACCAGGCGTCCCAGGCGGAGCCACCGTGCCAGAGCATGTTTTTGACGCTGAAAATGGGCGGCTCCTCCGCGTTGCCGGCGGTCTCCTTGCCGCCGGCGCCGCCGTTTTCGGCCTCGTCGAAGGTGGAGACAATGGCTTCCTCTGCTTGCTTCTGGGCAAACATTGTCCTTTTTCCTTTTTTCTTCCTCCACTAAATGGAATGTTTTTTTAGCAAGATCTGTAAATATAAGCAAAAAAAGAAAAACACAAAATTTTGATGAGACAAGAATGAAAATTGTCCTTATNTATTTAAAAAAAAAAACCCAATTTTCCACACTTTTATGAAATACCTTGTTTGCTTCTACTCAAAGTCCTTTTCTTGAACCGAAATCAAAACCAAAGAGCAAAAAATAAAAACAAACCAAAGAAAGCTTTTTTTTTTCTCTCTCTTGTTTTTTTAATCAAAATTGCAGATTTCTATAGATCAAGCAAAAAGGGGCACATGGGCAGTTGAGAAATTTCTTCATCCCAAATAAATTTGTCACAAAAACAGAGAAATAAAGGGCTTATATAATTAATTAATATGCTCAAGCAACAGAAATTAGAGAAGTCCACAGTCTAGGCTGTATAGCACACTGTCAACGTCGCTGTATAACAGAACTGAAAGGAAAAATATACTCAATTAATGCATTTTTTTCCTATTTTATTATATTGCAGGACCTTAAAAGCAGCAAATTGAGTTCTGGATGTGGATGAGGAAAATGGACTTTCTTGAGAGAGGCAGAGAGCAATTAATTAATTACACAGAGGAGTTTTTGTTTTAGTGATGAGTGAAGAAAAGGAAAACCAATAAAGGACCTTTTTGCTACTACTAAAGAAACAGATATATGTTTGTGTATTTATATAAACAAATGCTCCAGCAAGAGGATTTTCAGAGCTTCTGAACGAATTTTGCAAATATACAGTTCGGTTTGATTTCTGAATGCTTGAGTTTAACTCGTTCATTAATTTAAAACGAGTTAAGTTCGAACAACTAAATGTTAATTGAGTCTCAGTAGAGCTTGCTCGTGAATATCTCATTGTTTTAAAATAAAATAATCGAGCAAAATTTTGTTTACAAACGAACATTTCATATTTGCGAACAATTGGCCTAAGATTTTTATGCTCGCTAAACAAGTCAAATATGAGTTTTCACGAGATTAAATGAGTCGAGTATTTGACTCATTTATTAAATGAGTCGAGCCAAACTGTCTTTATTAAATGAACACGAGCTCGAATTACACTATAGTGAGTGTCTCAGTGTGTATTTAATTATTCATTGTTAAATTTCAATTTTTGGATTTTGTTTTCTATATTTGTCATTTTATTCGGTTTTATAATTTTTCTATATTTACAAATTCTCTTTCTATTGTGCTCCACTAATGATTCGATTCTGGGTCTTGGTTAGGTAGAGTGAGAACCGAGAATTTTTTTTTATTTTTTTTCACTTTACTTTTTCATAGTACATAATAAACATGGACTTTTTTTTTTCATGTTCAATAAAAATGTGGTGCACCTTTTGTAATATTTGGATAACAAAAGTGAGGGGATAAAATCAGCAAAAGGAATTGAAAAATAATAATTGATTCTTGCATGTTAGTAATTATTTTCCAAGGTTTTTTTACAATTTTGACACTAAATCGATTAATGTACTGCATAGTTATAAATTACAAGAAGGAAAAAAGAAAAATATGGTGAAATGAATAGTATATAACCAGAACAGACATAATTAATAGATAAGTGGAATTATTTGAGTAATGAAGCAAAAATAAAATGAAAACATAAATTTTTGTTGAATTAAACTAACAATTAGGCAATTCTCTCTGTATCAGCTAATTAAGCCCACCTAATACAAGAACTACCGAAAAAGAAAAGTGAACGTTAAGAGTATACCAACTCGAGCTTTCAAGAACTGTTTTAAAAAAAGTAGCAAGCTTTGGCGAATGTTTTTATTATTTATTTTTTTATAAATTCTAGAGCGAGACAATGTAATGGTTAACTTTTAATATAAAAGTGTGCATATTTATTTAGAAATTGTGGCTAATAAGTTGTTAAGCAGTTGTAACAATAGTCCCACTATTAATGTAGATGTCAATTAATCATCTAAACAATTAACTTAATTATGCTGTATACTTTCACTAATATCATTATTCTCAACAAACTCTTTCAATAACCTATTAGTTTTCTTTCAAATTCCTCTTGCATCTTTTCCTTGTCATTTTATTAAAACAACTTTAACATATATGTGTAACATTTTTTTAGAACAACTAATAATATATGTTATAGCAATATTTGTCTGGATTTGATCATTAACCTTAAAATGTACATCAACTAAACATTAAAATTTTGGAGATAAAGAGCAAACAAGGATCATCATACAAACGTGAAAAAAGAAGAGACATTTTGCAAGTCAAAATCGGTCAAAAGCTTTTATTGTGTCCTGCATTTTTGTTGAGGTCAACGGTCAACCTATTTACTGTGTCCCCGTTTATGATTGAGTTTTGGCAGGTTATTATCAAAGTTACTTGAGTTTGTCCCAAATGGAAGGAGACAATAGTGTCATAGTGAAAAAGGCACAAGGGAAAACAGAATAATAAAAGCCTAATTTTATTGCAATCCTAATCATTTTGTATTTTTTCTTGGCATAGGGAATATTATTTAGTTTATTCATTATTGTCGAGTTTGAACATTGCAAGACAAAAAATCAAATTAAAACAATAATGTATTTTAATGAAACTTTAGCGAAAAATAATATTCCTACGAAAATTCTATTTTTAACCAACAATTTTTATAGTATTCGTAGGAAAAATTGATATTGGAATTATAAAATTTCTAATATAAGATTTTAGTATTTAACTCAGGTTGAAAATTTTGTTGGAGTTTTTATGTTTGAAATTCGATATTCATTTTACAGAGGAATAAGTATCTATCCCTATGATGTACTCTAATTAAGTTGACTAATTACCTTCTTCTTAAAATTTTGTCAACAGTTATATAACACTTTATGCTATACATATTACATGAATGTTGTATAAGTAATTATGATATATTATAAATTGCGTAGTACTTAAAAGTAATTTTACATATAATGGCAAGTCCATCAATCGCATCATGAGTGATAAAATCAGGTGCATATCATATCATATCATAGTGTAAAATAAAACCATAGAACAATAAACATGCATCGTGTCAGCCCAATAAAAAAGAAGGGTAAAGACCAATTTTTGGGGATATTTGAATGGAATTAGTGGGAGAGATAATGATTAAGTTAATGAAATTTAGGGCACGAGTGTGGATCAAATTTAGGAATTGTGTCCCCCACAAAAGACCACTTGCACAATTTTTGGGGATATCTAAATATTTTGCATTTTAAAATTGTGTAGTGCATTTAGGTTAATTAATCATCTTGGGTATAATTACTGTCTTCTTTGGCTTTCGTGAGGACATTCTAAAAATAATTTTTTCCATTATATACATATTCATTGCATATATATATATATATATATATATTGTTAAAAATATATTACGGTTCGAGTCATTTAACAGTTAAACTGTCTCATAATATTTTAATTTATAGTTCAAATAATTAAGGCAGTTAAAAAATTTTGTTCTCTTTATGTAATTACAAAGGCCACATAAGGTTTCGTTCTTCAAGTCTTTGATTCAATATTTCCCTTCACAAATTATAAGTTCAGAGTGAAAAGTAAAAATATACTACCTAGTACAATTTAATAGCTTAAAGTTGAATACTTTTTCACCTAACAAACTATGAAAATGTCTCACTTTTTAAATATAACATGCTAAGGCCTTAATTAGAGGCTAAAAAGTATGATTAGCAGCATCTAATCATCACATGCTCATGCAATCATCAAGCTCAATGATTAACTGGCAAATAATTTTGTAGCTCGTTCTACATTTGCAGTATATTATGGGATTGCTCTAGCCTCTAGCTGCTTTTTTTTTTTTTTTTTTTTTTTNAGTAAGTTTTCAATTTTTTATTTGAATTTTATTTTTGTAAAAAATATATTTTTAATAATATATATTTTTAATATCTTTTTCAATAATATATTTTTAATAATATATTTTTAAAAGTAATATATTTTTAATATATAAAAAATAATATATTTTTAGTATATAAAAAATAATATATTTTTAATAATATATAAAAATAAAATAATATATTTTTAAATTATATATAAATGCTTTTTTAATTTTATTTTTATATAAGTATTTAATATATTTAATTAAAAAATAAATAAAAGTAAGTTCTTAATTTTTTTATTTGAATTTTCTTAAAAAATAATTTTATTTAATATATTTTAATCATGATTTATATTATATATTATATATATATTTTTTATTATTATTTGTTAATTTTATTTTTTGAAAAATTGATTCCTACACACATGGGAATGAGAAAACCTTTCATTTATTATGGAATGGCTAATCCCATGGAGACGGGTTTTGCCATTCCCATTGGAATGGTCATTCCTTCCCAAAAAATATACCAATCATGGGAATAAGAATGAGGAAGGGAATGATCATTCCATTCCCATATCATTCCTTCATACCAATTATGCCATTATTGTAGATTGAATGGAATTTGAGTTTGGAGTTTCGTTTTAAATTCATTTTAATAAACTATTATTTCTCACTTTGACTTGAATTCACAAGTTTAATTATCATAAAGAGATTTATGAAAGTAAATTGATTAGACTACTGATCGGCAGACCAATAATTGGTCAATTAATAATTTTTTCAACAAATATGCATATTATTATATTATAATACTATTCTAAAAACAATATAAGCAAAAATTCAATAATTTATAGTATAAATATGTATTTCTGCTAAAAATATTATGGATCAATTCATTTATAACAATCAGCAAGATTAATAGTAGCATTTGTGTTTGTATTTTGTATAAATATTGAAATTACTTAACCACTTGCTATTTTTAGCCAACGACTAGCCAACTGTACATAATATTGGCAGATCTCTCTTATGAATTTTGTTCTCTCAAACTAAAATATATAAAAAAAAGGGACTATAAAATTGTTTGACAATACTTGTAATGTGTAGCCCAGCTCTTAATTTATTATTTGACATAAATGTCACATGTTACAGCTAAGACTTGCAATTGTGTAGATTAATTTATTCACTAATCTCTGCTATAGAAAAAAATCAATTAAAGTCACTCTTTCAAACCTTAAAGCTTTTNATGAAACATTTAACTACAAATACGTGAAATTTCATTCACTTCTAGTTAATTTTTCTAATAGTTAGTAGGGATTGATATCTTGAATTTTTATGACATTTAGCGATATAGAGACTGAGTTCTGTTTCGATCTTTACAACATTTTTGTATAAAATATGCTGTATGATTTGCATTACAAGTTCTATTACTTGTTATTAATACGGTCTTTATTATGATGTGATTGATATTAACAAGATGAAGATGTGATTAACGAAGCTCATGCATAAACAAAGTGAGCATATTTTAAATATATTCTGATGTGCAATATATATTAGTTTTTAGACAGTAAGGAAAAAAAATAATAATACAACTGCTAATGAATATCTATCCAATACGAGGATTCATTAATTGAACCCAGGTATGTTTTGCTAAAGAACCTAAAAGACTAAATTCATTACGTAATCTGAGCTAAAATGACACATATGCTTCTGAAATCAACATGACCATATCCAAACCATAAAAATTTAAGGCAGGATAGTTAAAAAGAAAAAAAAAATACAAGAAAAGAATGAAGGGAAAAGGAATGTATGTTTTATTGGCTATCAATTAATTAATTAATTATATTTTTTACTACATGATAAACATAAAGAAAAAAAAAATAATGAGAATAAAAGACATAAAGTTGGAGTGTATATATATATATATATATATATATATATAGCATGCCTACAGCTGTTTATTACCCAATGAAAAGGATAAAAGGTATGAGAGGTTTCAAATCTTGAAAGGCCATTAACTAAATTGCATCATTAGAAAAAAAAGAATAGGGCAAATTAATCACACTTATGTTAACTATGGTTTAATTGGACTTGGGATACAAGTGATAAGGCTCTTCCCATTAGATATGCCACCTTTTTTGTCATCCTTTTATCATTCAATCTTAAAACTAAATGAATTATTATATGCAAATTATTATATTCACAAATGATTATACGTTTTGTACATTTCAGTGGATAATACTGTTATTATATGCATATGCAAATTACTATATGCACAAATGATCATAACTTTGTATATTTAAGTGGAAAATATTATTATACGCACAAAGTATTGCGTGGTCCCAATGATATTTATAGACATTGATAATATGAAATGCATACATTATGCTTGATAAATACACCGGAATTGGAGGCCGTAGTAAAAAATAATAATTAGAGTGTACCCGAAAATTTAATTCGTAAAATCACATAATTGGTATACAAAATAGGGACCACAAAATTTATGAGGTCCTCGCATGTTGGTCGCATAAGGTTTGCATAATCTTTTTGCACCTGAACTTAAATATGATAATTCAATTTTTATGATTATTTGTGTGTTCATAATTAGTAATGTAAATTATTGAAACATTTGACATAATCATAAACCCGTGTTCAGGTGCCATTGCATCCAACAATAATCATAATATTAATCAAAGTTAAATAATCCAAATAACTAGCTAGGGTGTAAAATAAGCCCCATGTAATTAACTAAACGACTCAATAAACAATCTCGAACTTGGCTCGTTGTTAACGATCGACCTCAGGCCTTGATCAACCGAACACTAACCTTAAAAAACTAAGTTATAAAAATTTACATAAAAAAATCATATTTTCAAATTTTAGCAAGCTAAACAAGATTAATCCTTACTGAACCGATTTCATTAACAACTCTAATTCAAATAAACTAAAATAATAATAGCATTACATTCAGATAGATGAATGTCATTAGCCAAACTTTAGGAATACAATGGCATGTGAATTATGTTTGGTTTAGCGTGGCTGAGGCCCGCATCACCATTAATGTTCATGAATTACAATCAATTGGGGGAAAAAGTGTGCCTACAAAATACTATCACTATAAAAAATTTATCGTTGGATCAAAACATTTCTATATAAACGTTTATGTCGAGTGTGTGTAATCCAACAGTAAACAACCTGATAAAAGCACTGTACTCGTATGTAGAAAAGCTAGTATAAGCNAATAAGAACTTAAATTAATTATGAGATCTTGCAATTAATTTTCAAGAAAAGGTAATTAAATCATAAATCATAAAAAGAAAATAAAGATGATAGTAAATAAGTACTTGATAAATGTTGATAATATTTCAATCATACATTCCATGCATATCTAGTAAACCAATACTCTATACACACAAGGTTAAAAAATAATTATAGGCTAAAGGCCTAAATTGTATCTAGAATCACTCGTGAGTCCCGCTCAACTCAGTTTGGCTCGCTAAGGTTCGAGCTCACCTTGATAAAAAATATGAAGTTCATATAATTTTGTGGCTCGGAATGAATTGAACTTAGTAATATCGATGAACGAATCGATTAGATCATTTAGTTAACAAGCTCGACTCGATAAATACTCGAATCTGAGCTCAAGAATCAAGAACTCAAGCTCGACTCTTTTACCCCGTAATCATACCTTAACAGAATATATTAATTTTTAATTTCAGTTAAAAAGAATGGGTGGGACCTTGAGCAATGCAGGGCACAACAAATATAGTCATATGTTGGGCCCCATAGGAGGAGCTATGTAGGACCCATTGAGATTTAGATTCATTGCTCCCAAACTCTACAAACTGAAGTCTCTTATGAAAGCCCAAAAAATGCTTACCTGTAAAACATCAGCCCAGGTTCTTCTCCAAGGGCCCATTTAGATCTCAGGCTGAAACTTTTGCTTCACACGGTTTGGAGGATTGGAAATAATACTTGGTTCAAGGATTTTTCTGTACTAAAGAATGTGGGTCTTGAAGGTTATAATTTTTTTTTTTTTTTTCCAAGGCAAACAAAAAACTTTATAAAAACTCAATAAGGAGTACTAGTACAGGCATAGTCAACTGACTACAAAGCTACAATGTCCTAACCAAGAACATCACATAGCCACGAGGAAAATAAATTTTCCCCTCAAAGACCAACATGGTCGTAAAGTCCAGAAGCAAAACAAAATCACAAAGCAACACAAGAAAAAATATTACAATCTTCAAATAAAACTAATACATCCTGCACAATCTGCTGATATGGAATGCTAGATCTTCCAGACTTGTTCAAAATCTTGACAGCCCCTTCATTGCCTAGAAAGCATTTTTCCGCTGTCCATTTTAGCTCTTTAAACTTTCTCAAACTCCATCTTGCAGCCCAAAGAGTTGCCTCAGTTGCGTGAGTGTTGTTCCTTGGCCCTTCAATACCCTTGAAGGTTATAATTTAACTTGGCAAAAAAAGGAATTAATCAAAAAGTGGACAAGCATTTGGTGTGGTATATACTATATAGTGACTTGTGAGATAAGAAGGTTCATATGTAGGTTTGAAGCTTTAGATAGATGACACTAGGACACGCATTGAGGCTGATTAATTGTTAGGCAGGTTGACCTTGTCATATATTTTTTTTAAATAAAATTTCATGTTTATATTAAAAAATGTCATGTTTTTTTCCTTAGAATATGACATTTCAATTTTAAAGTATGTATATCAGTTGAAAAGTGTGACTCCAATCTTATCGAAGTTGCATGTGAGTAATTTTGAAAACGAACATCAAACAAACTAGTTTTATGCCCTTGCAAATATAACAAACAATAAAAAAATGTGAAATTGTAACAATAATTATTCTACAATATAAATATGGGTTAGTTTAATCAGTCTTGTTTGTTACTCATTGTTGATTCCATGTCATATCATATGGTTTGCTCTTAGTGGTGGTTGATTGAGTAGATTTGATTCCCTCTAGTATTTTCGAGATGTTGAAACAAAGAATTTACGGGGCTAACTTTAATATTTGGGGACTTTAAAATTTAAACATTTGAAATAGGAGCATTAACTTTGATATAGGCAAGACAAGACAATTTTTGCATTTTCCTAAATATTTTATTGCTTCCATTCATGTGCATGAAGTTCACTTGAATATGTATATATACTCCCCATTTTCATATATTTTATTGGAATCACAACTTTTAGTGATTCAATTTATCACAACTTAATGTATGTGTGCGTGTGTAAATTTAGTGACTTAACTCTAATTAAAACTAAACATAGAGTATAATTTAGTGACTCATTCAAATTAAAACTTAACATAGAGTATAATTTAGTGTGTGTGTGTGTGTGTATGAAGAAATTGGAATTAATGATAAAGCTCAGTTTTTCCTAGTACTTGACTTGGTTTGTTCTTAGAGTTGTCATTTCAACTTTAAAGTCCATTGGGTGTTGAGGTATATTGTTATATTGTGGCAGACATGAAGAAATGAGTAAGCCTTTTGATTTGAAATGTAGCATGAATAACAGATTTGGACAATAGTCAACAGATATTTGGCTAGTGGTTATTAGATTCTTCACTAGGAATCTTAATTCTGAAGTAAGAATAAAATTAAAAAGAAAAAGAAATCAATGTTTGGTTAAGAGAGAGTTATTTTTGTAATTAAATCAACTATTAAAAAAAATAGCAAATAGAAATCAATGAATATTATGCAAAATAATCATGAGTACTCCAGTTATGTATAAACAAAACATATAATTAAAAATAACCAACTCTGTCACTTGAGTATCGTAATAGTTATAACTATTTTTATGGATTTCTAAGAGCATTATAAAATAATAAAACTATGCACAGATTGAGAGTAATATACACACTAAAGGATCTTAATTTTCACGAACTTACATCTTAGTTTAGTCCGATTCGGTTTGGATTCATACCTAAAATTTTCGGTTTTCTTTCGGTCAAATTCAAACCGAGACATACTATCTGCTGCCTGCTAAATAATTATGCAAGTCCCAACGGTTACAATAAGCTAAAGCCAAATTGAAACTCACACAAACAGGCCTTGCAGAAAGTTACTTACAAATCCCATCTAAGGTCCAACAATTTCTCCTACTCTTGTACTCTGTTCCATATATAACTTAAGTCTGAACTACATAAACTTGTCATATTAGAAAAAAATGTCAAAGTTGTTAGAGATCGAAAAAAACCAAGATAAGACGAGCAACCACGAATCTTGTGAGTTGTAGCCGCATACATAATCAGTCGTAAACTAACTAAAACGAGCAACCATTTAGTCTGTCAAAGCATAATCCACACAGCTAAGTTCTTTTTCCTGCAGATTTAGTCTGAAACACCTTTCCATTGGATGATGAAGAGCACAAAATCATAAATAATTTTTTTAAGAATAAAAAAAACGTTGAAAAGAATAATAAATCATGACATGGATAATTGCTTAGTAGTTTTATATACCATATCTTTTAGTTACTAACACAATAATGATTTGTGGTATTAGTATATACCTCTTAAACACAACTAAACAAGAAAAAAAAAATTTAAGCCTCAATAAGAGCCATTGGAGCCCCTGATGAACAAAAATAGAATTTACCATATTATGAACACTAAACAATAATCAATCACATCTCTTGCAGCCATGGCAACACTAGCACGAACAATTTGGAGCCCAATGACTTGCAAAAGAGTTTTCATTTCAGAGTTCTTTTGACCAATGACTTGCAAAAAGAGTTTTCATTTCAGAGTTCATTTGATCAGAAGCACTCACCATAAAATCATCATGTGATAAGTCATAACACAAAGTAAGACAAGCAACCATTCAGTTAGTCGAAGCACAATTCACGGTCTTCTTCCAGCACACAGAAACGCCCTTTCATTGGATGACGAATCTCGTCTGGGCAGAAACGACACCACAGCCCTGCACAGAATCATAAATAATTTTTTTAAGAGTAGATAAACAGTTGAAAAGTATATAATTAAACATTAATTAATTAGATCATGGCATGTATAATTGCTTAGTGGTATTTATATATATACCATCTCTTTTAGTGACACAATACTCCTCAGAAGCATCCACCGGTGCCAATGTCGCAAGCACATACTCGTCATCAGCAACATCCGATAAATAGAACTCGGCAAACAAAACGTGTAATTCTTCTTTGGGGCCCACACTTGCCACTAAGTTCATATGCACCCAAGTTGTCTTCTTTTTAGTGAAGTCCATTAAAAGACCAGTGCATTCAAAACTATTGCATTCCAGAGCCCTTTCGAGCTTCAAATTTATTCCCTGGATTCGTATTTTTTTTTCAAGACAACAAAAAAATAAAAAAAAAGGACAAAAAAAAAGGTACGAAGAATTTTCCATGAAAAGAAAACAGAACTAGGAAGAAGGGTTGAGCGGACTAAAATACATGTTTCTCATTGTAGTCCTGTATTGCAAATTCTGCAAATTCGGTGGCATCTTGTTCGGACAATATGATCGACTCGCAGTTCTTTTTTCTGCAAGAAGTACAAGTAAATACAAATGGATCAACTTCCATTACAAAAACATATGTAATGAATGAATTAGCGTATAATTACAAAGAAAAAGCTAGATTACACGGGATAAAATCCAGCACGAAATCCTGGTCTCGGACACCAAATGCAAGATGCACAAGTACAACCATATCCATGAATAATATTGCTTCCTTCAACAATTTTGTCCCCTGCAACAAACCAACAAAACCGAAACAAACACTCAGCATAAAAATAGAAAAAGCTCTATCCTGCTGAGGAAAACAATTTGCTGAGAAAAAGCCCTTCAACAATTTTCGTTCCATCACATGAATTCTCCAAGCATCACCGAAAAAAAAAATCAAAAATAGAAAAAGGAAAACGAATCATATACACATAATGCAAGAAACTTCAAATTGCGGAGAAAGCAAGAAAAAACAAAAAATCAACAAACGGGGATACAGTTCACCTGAATAATAAGAGGGCTCCACGAGAGACAATTTAGTGTGCTTAAGCTCACTTTTTTCGCGATATGATTCAGCGAAGAACAGGAGTTGATTTTTGTTAGTGGGACCCGCCTTTTTCCGCCTAGCCACAAAATTGGAATGCTTCCAAAGCCTGCGGATTTCCGTAAAATCAACGCCAACACCAATGGTATCCATACACCATACCTTGCCTTCCAATACCCTCACAAGCTCCAAGTCAGTCCCCTACAAATTTCAAATATATATATAAAATTAAGTATCGAACAAAACAGCAAAGGTCCAATTACAGGGGAAACAATAAAATATCCGGGGATGAAAAAATAATAACATGTTTCTTGTTGTAGTCGCTTAATGCAAGCTCTGCCCCCTCCTCCCATTCCTCGATACCCAGTATTACCGCCCTGCGAGAGCGATAACAAGATAAATCGCAACATAGAAATATTTATGTCTTATCAATTGTCTAAGCACAACAATATTAAGGAATTTACAAGTTAACTAGTGACAGATTAGCATTACCAATATCATAAGCTGGAAAAAAAAAAACATGGAGATGGTGAAAATGAATCATCGCAGATAAAGAATGAAACAAAAACATCAAATTCACAATACAAGCAATGCCCTAATTCGAAGAAATCGTTCGCAAAGGATAACGAAGTCCACAACAACTCACGCGTTGGCGTTAGTATATACTCGACAGGTCTGTTTACACCGCATGGCTGGGATCAGTTAGCACGGAGGCTCCGGCGGAATTACGACTGAATTCTCACGTTTATCGTATAATACAATCTTTTGATTGATTGCATGTAGCTGTAGCCTGTAGCTGTAGGTGACTTATTTATAATAATTTTTTTAATTTGTTACTCAAATTTATTTTTCTAAATCTATTACTATATAATAGAGAGAAGAAAAAATGTTTGAAAAATTATTTCATTTTACCGCTCAAATCACTTTTTTTCCTCTAATATTTTGTTTGAAATTTTTTCGAAAGTTTGAATTTTTTTCATTCCAAAATTCAGTATGTTTTGGATGAGTTCAATATATTTTGGATGAGATTCCTTCCATATCGGATAAATTCAAGTTCCTTTTCATTTGGAAAACATATTTTTATTTTAGCAATATATTTGACTTCCTTTTTTTTAACCGATTATGTTGGTCTTCTGTTTAAAATTGAATTTTTTTTTAATTAAAGAATGTACCAGTTTCCTAAACATGATAAAAACATATCACTTCAAATATTTTTAAAATTGAGGATTCCAACTACTACGATTAATGTGATTAGTACTAACTGATTTTGTTAAATAATATCTTCATTGATTCACCCCAACACGTTTGATAGGTCGGTTCATGAGTCAGTTATGATGCATAAAATCACACAATAGTGGCTATTTAATATAAAACTATTTAGAATATAACAATTCAAAAATTGAGGATTCCATATAATGTAGGCTCAAAAGCTACGAATTGATTTATTCCAAAAATTGAGGATTTCATATAATACAAATTGATTTATTCTACAAATAATTCACAATTTTACGGTTTAAATAATACAATATGTACATCATTTCCCTTACAAATTTGATCAACCAACACGATTTTGATGATAATTTTTCAAATTGATCTGTATTCCTTTTGAATATCAGAAAGATTTTTGAACAAATATTAGTTAATAATTTAAAATTTGTAATTTAATTTTAGAGAATTAGTTGATAAATTTGAACAATAAGGTAACCGAAAAAAAATCTAAAAAATTGAGAGATGATATGTATAAAGAATTTATTGTGTAGTCTAAATTTGGTTTCCAAATTTAAAAGTCAAATAAGGTATTCTTAATAACTTACGGGTTAGTATTAACTTGGACGTAAATAGAATAATCAATTATTTATAGTTTAATAAATTACTCAACTACTTAATTTTTTTATTTAGATAGTTTATACAAAAATAAATTCAATTTAATTAATGAAATAATATAGTTTTATAACTGTACTTATTATTCACATAAATTTTTAAATATTCATAACATTTTATCAAAATTATTATTTTATGGAATTACATTGTAGTTAAATTGAATTTCTGAATGAAAATTTTAAAATGACACTTATTTTGAAATTATATTGTAGTTTATTATCAGTTACGTTCACCGTACGGGTTGTGTACTAATTTTAAATTGACATGTTTTTTATAATTTTGCACAATTTAAATTTCATATAACATTTTCAATAAATTTAATATAGGTGAATTGTATTACAATTGATTCCATATTTTTAAGTTATAAATATTATTTAATGTGTATTTTTAATTTATAAATATTAATAAATATCTCTTACCCCTGCATAGCACATGATTCGTATTAGTTAAAGAAAATAGAACCAAAATAAACAAATATTTAATTATTTAAATAAGAACTAGAAAAGTGTTACTATTTATATAAGAACTAGAAAGATGTTACTATATGGTATCTAATCTCCCTAATAAATATCTCCTACCCGTGCATAGCACGGGATTCGTACTAGTTAACATTGATAGATAATTAATAGTTTTCTAAAAAAAAGAATCATTTATTTATGCCTATAAATACCAAAACAAATTTGTAATTAATGTCATTCTATTTCCAGCAAGCATTAATTATCTTTGACTTTTCTGCTTACTATTTCTAGTAAATAGGATGACTTTTTATACAAGTATAGATTTTTAAACTGACTTAATTGTTGGACCGTTTCGGCCCAACAATATCCAAGTACAGAAAAAAAAAAAAAAGTCAGACGACCCACAAATTCTTCTATTGAAAACAACGAACACATTTTTTCTTGTTCCATTATGGATAGCTGCAGCCTGCAAGGAATTCCTTATTCCATCACAGAGGACATGAACAATAGATTGACCAGATCTGTGGACTTGGAAGAAATCAAGAGTGCTCTATGGGAAATGCACCCAAACAAGGCGCCAGGAGTTAATGGTATGACCCCACATTTTTTTCAAGCTTCTTGGGATTCTGTCAAGTATTCTCTATTATCTGCCATTCAACATTTCTTAAATTCTGGTTTATGCCCCAACATACTAATCATACTGTTGTCACGTTAATACCCAAAAAACACAACTCTGCTTCTCTCTCTGGTTTTCGACCTATTAGTTTATGCAATGTGTCATACAGGTTGATTTCCAAAATCATTGCTAACAGACTAAAAACTGTTCTTCACAACTGCATTAGTCCATCCCAAGCCGCTTTTGTCCTAGGCAGACAGCTCATAGATAATTTTGTGCTTGCAAATGAATGTATACACTTCCTCAATAGAAAAAATTTGGTTCTGATTGCTACATGGCCCTAAAGCTCGATATGGCAAAGGCTTTCGACAGAGTAGAATGGTCTTTTTTAGCTGCCATATGCAAGAAGATGGGCTTTTGTGATATTTTCTTATCCTGGATCCGTGCTTGTATCTGTTCCACTTCTTTCTCATTCAACATTGATGGATCCCCTTCTGGCTTTGTAAAACCCACTAGAGGTATCAGGCAGGGAGATCCCTTATCTCCCTACCTGTTCATAATACTCTCTGAAGCCCTATCCAACCTTCTAACACAAGCTGAAATTTCTTGCTCATTCCAAGGCATTAAAATCAGCAGACTTTCCCCTCCACTAACTCATCTTTTCTTTGCAGATGATTCTATTATCTTCTGCAAAGCTGACAGTTTTCCTGCCTGTTCCATTGTTCAAATTCTTGAAGCTTATGGCCTCTCTTTAGGACAACAAGTTAATTACCAAAAATCATCGATGTTCTTCTCTAAAAACTCAACTCCTGAAACAATTGCTAGTGTGTTCAATAATTCCTGGGATTTCTGTAGTTAAAACTTCGAGATACCTTGGGCTGCCCCTAGGTTTAGGAAGATCCAAAAAAGAAACTTTTGATTTTGTTCTTTCAAAGGTTGAGCAAAGGCTTAGCAACTGGAAAAATGTTTTTCTCAGTGAAGCAGGCAAAGAAGTTTTATTGAAAACAGTCATAGGGGCTCTCCCCACTTTTGTTATGTCATGCTTTAAGTTGCCTAAATCCATTTGCCAAGAAATATGCAGGAAATCAGCTGCCTTTTGGTGGGGAGTGAAGACTGATGGAAGTGCTAAAATTCATCGGGCCTCATGGGCCAAATTGGCTCAACCTAAAGAAGAAGGTGGTCTCGGGTTCAAGTGCCTACATTCCTTCAATGAAGCACTACTGGCAAAACAACTCTGGAGACTGCTTAACCACCCAAATCTCCTTATGACCAGAGTTTTAAAAGGAAAGTACTTTCCTTCTACTTCTCTGTTCGAGGCAAAGCATAAGCCCTCTGACTCATGGCTTGGAGTTCTTGGCTGAGGGTAAGAGATCTGCTAAAGGTGGGGTTGATAAGGCAGATAGGTGATGGCATAGATACTCTGTTGTGGTCTGACCCCTGGCTGTCCAGTGTCCCTTGTTATACTCCAACAGTGCAATTTCAAAGAGACACTTTATCCCTCAAAAGGGTGTGTGATATTTTTGAAGACACAGATAGAGCCTGGGACAAAGAACTAATTTCCCATACATTCTCCCCTAAGGATGCTCAACAGATTCTGGACACACACCTAGACAGAGGAGTCTCTAAAGATAAGTGGAAATGGAGGTTGGAAAAATCAGGGGCTTTCATTGTCAAGTCTGCCTATAAAGAGTGTTTACGACTCCACAAAGGTAATATCAATCAGCCTGAATCTAGTACATTCTCATCGTCTCTCTCTCGCATGTGGAAAAAGACTTGGTCTCTTAAAATCAAACCAAAAATAAAAAAAATTCATTGGCGATGTTGGCATAATTTTCTTAGTACCTATGACCAACTGAAGATTAGGGTTGGGATAACTGACTCCATTTGTAGCATTTGTGGGAATTCGGATGAACAATGGAACATATTTTTTTCCAATGCACTAGAGCAGTTACAGTTTGGAAACTTGCAGGTCTAGAATGGAATGGAATGCAAAATCCGGCTATGTCGTTCAAAGTGTGGTGGCAAGACATATGCCTTTCGAAATCCGTAGCTTACATAACTGATCGTATGAGTCTATCTTCGTATATTTTCTGGTGGCTATGGAAAACTCGTAATTGTTGGGTGTTTAGCAAAGTTTGGAAAAGTGAAATCGAAATAGCTGGAGGCGCGCGTAGAGAGTGGATGGAATATGATTTGCTAAACATTTAAGTTGTCTAAGCCTCACTGGTTTTGCAGCAGGTTTTTTTGTCTGTCTTTTGCTAGGGGTAATATTTTTGCAGCACTCCTCTGTAGGTTGTCTCCATGGCAGCAGTGCAGTTTTTCGGGTGCCTCAGTCGTGTTCTCTTGGGTGTTCGTGATTCGCTGCTGATTTTGGTTTAGTTTTGACTTCTCTGGGCCTAGACCATTGTTCAGTTTTTGGCTTAGTGGATATATTATATTTTGCTTTCAGCAGTTTGTTTGTATATCTTTTTGTTTTCATGTGCTCGGCTTTGTTTGTCCCTTTCCTACTTGCTCAGGTGTTGGAGCAAGGGTAGTCTGTAAATGTTGTATATCTTGTACTGTGTACCTTGTTTTCGTTTAATGCATTCNAGGAAAAAAAAAAAAAAAGAACAAAACAACGAACACATTTTGCAGTTTCTTCTTTATTCCGGCGGCGAATCGGTAGTATCAAACACAATTTTGCTATAGAATTTTTGGTATCAGACAAGCTTCTTCTGAATAACTTTTGTATTGCGATGAACGCCTGCGAATTGTTGTAATCGTATATTTGGCAGGAGGTGCATGCCTATATCAATTGAATCGAGAGGTTTACTGTTATTTTCCTTTGATCGAGCTATGAGGTTTAAAGCTCCGCCTGGATATACATTTAGAGGGTGAGTTATCCTCAACTTTTTTTCAATTCGATAATTAGGGCTTTTGCTATGTTGATTGGATTATGATTTCTTTTACTGCGGCCAATAAATTTTACCTCTGATGATGCTTTTGTTTGATACATTTGATTGAATAAAGTCTGTTCTCCAAATGATGTATATTTTTTATTTTTTTAACCATTTCTTGATATTGCCAGCTTTTGCTATTCATAATGCTGATCTTTAGTGCTTGACTGATGCACACCACTTTCTTCACTGGTTAGCTTGTGGATTTGTGCAGTTATTGTGGTGCTTAGGTGATTGATAACACATAATTATTCGATGTGACGATTTTTTCTTTCAGCCCATTAGAAATTCCACGGGAGTTGGAGCCTATGATCATTTCTTGGACTTGGGAGGAGGTGGCACAGCTTGCATTAAGAGACTACAACAAGAATCATGTTACTAATTTTCCATCCTTCTCATAAGTTCTCCTTTTCCCTATAATCAAATCTTTGCAGTTTTGTTCGATACTTAAATTTCTCTGTATATTTTTGAAATTTCTAGGGGACTTATTTGGAGCTTGTGAGGGTTTTGGATGACAAGGTATGGAATAACTTTTTAGCTGATGCTGGTGTTTGGAAACATATCAATTTTGAGGCCAGACGGCGGAATGTGGGTTCCAATGACAACGAGGCACTTGTGCTGTTTTCTGAATCATATCCCAATGATACGGAGCTTTTTTTTTTTTTTTTTTTTAACCAACACCCCAGTAGGGTGGGGCCGATGATAAGGAGCTTTATCATACTAAATTATCACTCTTGGATCCTACTTATCATGGAGGTGAATTATATATTGTCTGTTGATGTTTTTGGTTTTTCTTGTTTTCTCTCTTATTTGATTTTTGTGCCAACTTGCTTTTTGTGGATATGATTTTTTGTCTATTTGTGATATTTGTTATTTCTGAAGACATTTGGTAGAATTCACGTGAACACGTGATGCAACAAAAGCTATAATCAATTTCTATACATCTCAGCTTGCTTTTCTTGTATTACCAAAATCTTTGTCTTAGCTAGTTGCAGCTTTTCTTGTAATATGTTGTAGTGTTGTATTATATTATTGTTTGTTCTTAAACCATGATGAAAGAAAATAGAAAATAATAATAATTAGATTCCAGTAATATTTATTCCAAGCAGTGATTTCAGTTTCATGGTTTGCTGCAGGGGAATATTGTTCTCGTTGCCCATATAACATTTGTCGTCCGAATCCAGGATTTCGTGCTGGGTTGTATCCCTTGTAATCTATCTTTTTCTTCGTAATTGATCTCCAATTTATTATATAGTTATTCTATTGGAATTCCTTGTATTTCCTGCAGAAAAAAGGAGCTGTGAGACAATCATATTGTCTGAACAAGATGCAATCGAGTTTGCAGAATTCGCAATACACGACTACAATGAGAAACATGTTTTTAGTCCACGTAACCCTTTTTTCGAGTTTTATTTTTTCGTTTTTTTTTCTCCATGGGCTTGTTGATAACCTATCTTTTTATTCCTTTTTTTTTCACTTGATAAATATAATGATACAGAGAACAAACTTGAAGCTTGAAATGGCTCTAGAATACAATAGGTTTGAAGGCCTTGGTGTCTTAATGGGCTTCACTAAAAAGAAAACGACTTGGGTGCATATGAACTTGGTGGCGAGAGTGGGCCCTAATGAGGATTACTCGTTTTCTTTGCCGAGTTCTATTTATCAGAATGTTGCTGATTATGAGTATGTGCTTGCTACATTGGCACTAGTGAATACTTCCAAGCATCGGCCTGTTAGTAAAAAGGATGGTAAATAAACACTACTGGTTCCACTAGTTCCAATTATACAAGTCTTTATTTATTTATTGCATTCTCTCCTTCGCTTACAGGATTGACTGTTGCTTTTACTTTCGAGTTGGTTTAAGGCTTCATCTTCCGGGAATGAGCTGTTGTAAGGCCTTGCCTTTCTCGAAAGTGAAACCTTTAAAATTATTATTCTTGTCAAAATGTTAATATTATTCTTAAAAAAAAATCATGTGATTCTGTCCAGGGTTGTGGTGTCGTTTTTGCCCAGATGGTATTCTTCATCCAATGAAAGGGTATTTTTATAATTTCTACCCACCTGATGCTGCAGTTGAAAATTTGCTGTAAAAAAGGTATGAAAACCCTTTGCATGAGCTGTGTAAATCATGCTTTGACTTGATATGATATGATGTAATATGATATGAGTTTTCATGCCATTTTTTATTCTTTAATTCAAATTTTATGATTGTGATCTTCTGTTGGAACAAATGTATAGATACCAGAGGGAACCTGCATCAGTTCGCTTTTCCAGCCACAATGAAATAAAATGAACCTTTTCTTCATATGTGTGTGTGTGAGAGAGAGAAATAAATGTAACCACAAGAGCAATTTTTGAGGGAAAACGCATACTTTCAATGTGTTTCTGGTGGATGCCTTTGCTTCTTTTATCTTTTGGTGCTCTTTTTGTATTTTTCTAATCATTATGTTGCTATTGTCAATTATTTAATTCAAGACTATGGTTCCAAAGCCGAGTTTTTTATTTATTCTGATGAATTGGTATCGAACACTCGAAAAATAATTCGTTTCATCTTTGTTGAATATAAATTACGCTTTGACACACTGAATGGTTGCTCGTTGTATAATGTGTAGCGTGCTATTTTCATATATATATATATATATATATATATATATATATATATCCAATTACAAGTTGACACTTCCTTTGGTTAGCGGTTCACGATAGCTTGTTGACTAACGTAAATCGGCTACGTCGACACATGACTTCGAGCTCGACGTGCATGCTTTGTTTGAGGGATTGTGAATCCACAATCCATGCCTTACAAGATTGTCATGCGGTGACCCAAACCTGGAAGAAGTTGCTTCCTAGCACTCAGTGGTCTGAGTTCTTTTGGTTAGATCTTCACGATTGGTTCCGGGCTACGTCGACACATGACTTTGAGCTCGACGTGCATGCTTTGTTTGAGGGACTGTAAATCCACGTTCCATGTCTTACGAGACTATCCTGCAGCGACCCAAACCTGGAAGAAGTTGCTTCCTAGCACTCCGTGGCCTGAGTTCTTTTCGTTGGATCTTCACGATTGGTTCCAGGCTAATTTATCTGGTGGCTTCATCCCGGCACTGGCAAACTGGGAATCCTTATTTGGCCTCACAGCTTGGCGCCTATGGCGCTAGAGGAATTTAAAAATATTCCAAGGGACGGACACAACTATGCCTCAATGGGTTGGCGAGGTAGTTTCCTATGTGGATAGGGTTCGCGGGGCACTGGCCGGGAACAGTAAAGTCAGAGCTTGTGGCGTGGCGAAGGACGAGCTCAAGGTCCACATGGATAGTAGCTTTGTTCCGGCAACGGGAATGGCTAGCGCTGGAGGGGTCATCCGAGATCACCATGGGAATTGGATGCAGGGCTTCTTGATGAACGTCGGTTTCTGCTCAATTATCGGTGCAGAATTATGGGGGTTGTTTCAGGGGCTACAGTTGGCCTGGGATATCGGAGCCCGAAAAATTAAAGTGGAGGTCGACAACCAGAGTATTGTTGCTATGATACAGGATGAGACCGATAGCGGGCCGCATGGAAGTATTTTGAAAGGGATTCAAGAACTTGTGGGTCGTTATTGGTCGGTGGAGGTTATTCACGAATATCGAGAAGCCAACTTTGTTGCGGACTATTTGGCTTCTTTGGCGGCGAAGGATCCGGGTGGTCTTCATAGGTTGGAGCACCCACCGCCGGGGGCGGGCGTATGGATAACTCACGATATGATCGGCGTGCCCTTTCCTTGGAGAGTCGTAAGATAGATTTTGTATAGGCATTGCCTCCCTTTCTTGTACCAAACAAAAAAAAAAAAAGTTATTGGTGACAAGTAGTTAGAAACAATGTTTTAAAAATATCGTATAAACAATCAAATTGGAAGAGTTAGAAACAATGTTTTAATCACCGTATAAACAATCAAATTGATTTTACTATTTTTTTTTTTCGATCTCTTCCTTTTGGTTAGAGTCTTTTTTGTGTTTCCCTTGGGTTTCATCTCTAGCCTACCCCGACTTGCTTGAGACTAAAGGCTATGTTGCTGTTGTTGTTGTATAATATAAATAATGTATAAAACTAACTCTAATAAATTCTGAAATTAATTAAAATTTAATAAGAATGTAAATAAACATATTAAAATCATGTGTAGAACTTTCAAATTATACAAAAATTTTTTTATAAAAAATTAGATAAATAGATGGGCTTTAAAGTAAATACAATGAACATTATTTAATGAACTAGTTTAAATTAAAGTACGAGTATAATAGTTTTTAGCATGTACGATTCACAATAATTTTAAAGAGCCAACTATTGGCTCCATATTATTATTGGTACGATTCATATGAGGCAATGTACGAGCCGATCAACAATCTTTATTGCCTCGTAAAATAAATTAATGGTTGATATTTACTTTTAGATCAATTTAATGGTGAGACGGGTAGAGGTGTAAATTGAAATTCTAGCAAATATTTGAGTCGTCCAAATAACTTTGCTCTTCTCCAATCTAAACCAAGCTCTACCGAACATTTTCCAGATGATAACATATTAAAGCACGAAAAAAAAAAAATCATATTAAAGCACGACTTAAATATAAATATCCTAGTTGGAACACTCATCAACCAGCAGTCTAACGCATAAACCCTACCATACGTACATCCAAACTTTCACACATTACACACACATCAAAATATATGTTTTAACTGATTTTTTTTTTCGACAAAAAATATAATTTGGACAGAAAAATTATTCACTGGTGCAAAGAAGAAGAAAATGCGAACTTTTCAGTATGGTCGTGGTAGATACCCCTTAATCACATCAACTATGATACAAGAATATAATTTACCATATTATTAACATTAAACAATAATCAATCAAAATCACGCCACACAATAGTTGCAATGCCAGCACGAACAATTCGAAGCCCAAGTTTTCATTTCATAGTTCATTTGATCAGAAGCCCACACCATAAAATCATGTAATAAGTCATAAAACAAAGTAAGACAAGCAACCATTCAGTTAGTCGAAGCCCAAAGGCTCGTCTTCTTCCAGCAAACAGAAACGCCCTTTCATTGGATGACGAATATCGTCTGGGCAGAAACGACAACACAGCCCTGCACAGACCCATACATAATTTTTTTAAGAGTAGAGAAACAGTTGAAAAGTATAATTAAACAATAATTAATTAGATCATGGCATATATAATTGCTTAGTACTATTTATATACCATCTCTTTTACTGACACAATACTCCCAAGAAGTATCCACCGGTGCCAATGTCGCAAGCACATACTCATCATCAGCAACATCCGATAAATAGAACTCAGCAAACAAAACGTGTAATTCTTCTTTGGGCCCCACACTTGCCACTAAGTTCATATGCACCCAAGTTGTCTTCTTTTTAGTGAAGTCCATTAAAAGACCAGAGCATTCAAACCTATTGCATTCCAGAGCCCTTTCGAGCTTCAAATTTATTCCCTGGATTGGTATTTTTTTTTTTCAANCTTCCAATACCCTCACAAGCTCCAAGTCAGTCCCCTAGAAATTTAAAAAATATATATAAATTTAAGTATCAAACAAAACTGCATAGTTCCAATTTCAGGGGAAACCATAAAATATGAGGGGGATGAAAAATTAATAACATGTTTCTTGTTATAGTCCCTTAATGCAAGCTCTGCCCCCTCCTCCCATTCCTCGATACGATGTCTTACGGGCCTGCGAGATCGATAACAAGATAAATCGCAACATAGAAATATTTATGCGTTATCAATTGTCCTAAGCACAACCATATTAAGGAATTCACAAGTTAACTAGTTACAGATTAGCATTACCAATATCATAAGCTGGAAAAAAACATGGAGATGGTGAAAATGAATCATCGCAGATAAAGAATCAAACAAAAACATCAAATTCACAATACAAGCAATGCCCTAATTCGAAGAAAAAGTTCGCAAAGGATAAAGAAGTCCACAACTCACCCGTCGGCGTTAGTGGATACTGGATGGGTCTGTTTATACCGCATGGCTGGGAAGGGATCAATGGAAACGGAAAAAGGAAACAACAGAAAAACTCGATTCGATTGATATTAGCACGGCTCCTGCAGAATTAACGATTGAAATTCTCAGTCGCTGATCGTAATACAATAGTTATTCAGAATCAAATTCCGGATTCTATTTGAATAGGGATTGATGGTAGATAGAAAACCTTGTGAAATTTATTAAATTTATTAAACACGTTATTACATTAACCAAATAAAATATAGAACAAATGAGCTTTTAATATTTTTTTTAAAATTTACATAATGATGATTTAATATAGTGGGTATGTTGTTGTTGTAATGATGCCTTAATATAAAAAGAATGAAATAACAAATTACAACCCAACAAAAATATAGTCACTAATGGAAAAAAAAAGTAAATAACTAAATACAAAGAGTGATTTTCTTTCATTTTGGTTTTGAGTTTTCATAAGAAACATTCATACTTGTTGGAGCTCAGTACATCAATAGTATTGTAAAATTCTTTTAAATTCATTAGGCAAAACATCAACTTTATTCAAACACTTTTAAATATTCTTGCAATACATATAGTTAAATTTCATGATTGTATGATCTTTATAAGATATTTCTACTAACAATTTATGTATATCTTTGTAAAATAACCAACTGTATCATTAAATTGTTGATATATTTTTAACAGTGTATAAACTACTTCATTACCATGTCTATATAGAAAAATTGGTACCTACTCCATGGAGACATTGATACACGGGGTGAGAATGAATTTAATCTTCAAATAAAAATTGACTTTCCAAATGTACTTCTCCCAAGATGCTATATTACCTTTTTAAATCATCACATAACTAGTACAAATCCCGTGCGATGCACGAGTAAGAAATATTCATTAATTTTTATAAATTACAAATGCTTATTAAATAATATTTATAAATTAGAAATATGGAATCAATATGTAATACAATTTACATATATTAATTTGTTGAAAATGTTATATGAAATTTGCAAAATTATATAAAACATGTCTATTTAAAATTAGTACACGACCCGTACGGTGCAAGTAATTGATAATAAGTTACATTATATTCATTTCAAAATAGATGTCATTTTAAAATTTTATTCAGAAATTTGATTTGACTACAATGTGATTTAAGTAAAAACAAACATTTATATATATATATATATATATTACACACACACACACACAAAAAATAATTTGATATGTTCCACGCATATTTACAAGAAGAATCGACCATAGTATTATCCATATTTTTCTTTCATTAATATCGCGTAAAATGCTTAGCAGTATAAAAAAAAATTGAGATACTATTTATTACCATAAGCGGGTATATTTGATCAATATATAGTATACCAAATAACTTAATTTCATACATTATCGATAAAATACAAAAAATGATATTCAGTTTAACCACGAAATTAATTGCCCAGCGTACAAAACAAAATCAAGAATTACGTTTATTATAGATAAAAATATAAAAAGACTAAAAATAGTTATTAAAAAATAAAATAATTATTCTCCAAAACCCTACCCGCCGCTTGTTCTCCGTCAATTCAGAGCAGATTGGCCTTCCTCTGCGGCAATCGAGCTTGAATCAGTGGTCGTCCCCCGGCCGCCTGGCCTCCGCCCGGATTCACGCGCCTCCCTCATTGCTGGTTCAGGTAAGCTTTTATCTCTCAAGATTGGGTCGGTTTTCTGTGGCCGGCCCGCGGGCTCTTCTTTTCGGTTTCCTGGAGAGTGGTGAAGAGGGTGGGTGTTCGAATCTCCGCCGAGTTCTCTGCTTTCTTCCCCTTTCCTCCGTTGGTGGGTCTGGGGAGGAACATTGTCTTGTCCTCCGGCCAGTGGTGATGGCAGAGGCGGGGCTGTGGTGGGCGGAGGATTGCGGCGGATTCGGTCGGGTGGATGGTGCTTCGGTTGTTCGGCGTCGATGGTGTCGGATGGTCGGAGCTCCGCTGCGCTTCCATCTTTCTTACCCTTTCCTTCGGTGTTGGGTCTGGGGTGGACCATTGCTTTGACCTCCGACCAGTGGTGATGGCAGAGGTGGGGTAGTGGTGGGTGGTGGTTTGTGGCGGCTTCGGGCGGTCGGAGACGTGGCTGCATCCTTGGCTTCTTTGTGGTTTGGGGTTTACTGGGTTTGGTTGGACTCGCTAGTGGTGTTACTGTTGGGTTCGCTAGTACCGTACGGGCTGTACGCAGCGGAATTTAAAATTTTTAAAGTTAGTATTTATCGTATAAATACTATACCCGTACATACTAACTTCCAATTAACTGATCGTCATCTTTAAAACATGCATCATATACAAATTTTGATTTGTTACTATAAAGTAAATATTAAAAATATTTACCGAGTATCTTGAACTCCTTCACAATTGATGATGGATGAGGGAATCGATTCCCGGTTGTAACTTCAACGACTTGAGGTTACTCGCTAGAGGAATCCAAATGTCTTCCCTCTAAACGTATCCACCCTATGAAGCCCGGTTCCGACGACTTTCCTTCGCTAGTAAAAAAGACTCGGTTTTCTTGTATAGGAATATTTATTTTGGGAATTTTTCAAGAACTCTTTCTTGAATTTTATGAAGAACACTTTCTTCTCTTTCTAACACTTAGAAATTTAGGATCAAATCCTCTCTTAAATGCAAAACCATTTTGCACATATTTATACTAAACATTTTAGCATAAAATAATCAACATTTAGTAATATTTAAATAAAATCAAATTTTATTTAAATAGTATTTACTAACTTTTGACTTTGAAAATAATATGATATGTTAAGTGGTTCAAACAACCATCAACAACCATTTTATTATAATCATATTTATTATTTTAATCCTTAAATCATATTTAAAGATATAAATAATAATTGGATAATAAATCTTGAGAATCTTTCTCAAGACTTTATTATTCTATCATTTTCCCAATCTTATAATAATCATATTATTATTATTTTGGATTTTGAAATTTAAAATCCTATTTTAAAATTCAACTTTATTAATTTAGTAATTACCTTAATTACTAAAGTAATATCCAAAATGTAATTAATCAATCTTATTGATTAATATATTCCTTTAATTGACATCTAATCAAATTAGATATTGTCAATTAATTCTAACTCTTTAGAAATACATTTTTCACCTTTGTTCATAATAGGTGTGACCTTTTAGGTTCACCTTAATACTAGTAGTGGGTTTACAACACTTTGTAATTTGAGTTAAATCTTATTAACTCTTATTCATGAATTAACCCTTTAATTTATGAACCCACATATCATGGTAACACCTAGCAAGTAGCATGAATCTAGTATTAAGTGAATAGCGAGTAAACCTATTCCGATTACAACTCCATACATGTAAAATCCTTTCGACATCTAATTTCCCGATTAAGTCTTGGGTATGATTTTGTCGAAACCCAAATTGACTTAATAACTATGATTCTATTTCATGTTTATTAACCCGGTTATGAATCACTATTCATCTCTGCCTTGGCCAAGGACTTTGGATTAATAACTATGAAACACATAGGAAATTCACTTATCTTCATAAGTGTCGAATCCTTTATTGGCCACTAACAAACTTCCATACATATTAACATAATACCCAACTTATCCCTTTAAACGATAGTGCTAGCTACCAAAAGGATAAATCAAAGTAGAATGTAATATGCACAAAGTTACCATTGTGCCTCAAGTCTTAGGATTAGTCATGTACTATTGTAACATGAAAATTCTTATTCGACTGAATAAATTCTTCATTAAGAATTTTCATACGGTCATGTTCAGTGAACTTGTTCTCTAACAAGCACCCACATAAATGTATTTGCGTCACACGCTAATGTTGATGGAATGCAACATTCTTGTCCAACAAGCGTACAAACTATGTGCAAGTCTTTTATGGATTATTCGATATCCCATCTCGAAACATCCATCGACTTGGAACTGTATTTAAGATCACAACTTTCAAGGTATGTTCCATGATTACCATCTCTATGCGTAACCATACCTTATAACTATATGTGATCTAGGGATTTTATCTTAAGTGCAATTATAATATAAATGCTTTCTCTTAAGATAAAGAAATGCCTTATTAATTAATATAATTCCAATAGATTGTATTTACAAGTAGAATATTTCCAATCTGATTGGAACGCCGGGTATCCTACTCTAACAGTTAGTGGGCTGGTCAAGTTGTGGTCCTGAGGCATCTTGGGTGTTGAGGTCGCGGTTCGAGTTTGATTTCGAATGTTGTTCTGGGGCTTGGGATTTGACTTCGTTAGGCCACCGAGTTGGTGTTTGGGCAGTTTCGGGTCGGTTCTCTTTGGCTGTGGGACTCATTCTGGATCGATTCGGTATCCACCGGCTCTACTTGGTTTCGCTGCTTAGGAAGGGTTTGTTTCGTTTTGATTAGTGTTTTATTGTTTTTTGTTGTTTTTTTGTTTGTTAGTTTGTTTTGTGATTGTATTGTTTAGAGCATGTATTTTTGGTTTGGGCCGTTGGCCCCTGTGAGCCCGAGTGTCAAACTTATTACTCCGTTGGGGCCCGACACTAGGGTATTACCCTGTTGGGGTCCTTGTAGTTGTTCTAAGTGTTTGTGTTGTAGGTTAGTTTAGTTGTGAGTGTATTTTTTTTATTCTAGCGTTGCTAGTCGGGATTCTAGGCGGGCTTCTGACCTGTCCTCCCACTTTTTCAGCTGTTGGTTGTTGTGTATTCAGCCGTTGGCTGCTGTGTATTCGCACATTTGTGCATTTTGCTTTATAAAATTATCTATCGTTTCGGGAAAAAAAAAAATCAACCGAACTTGCACGATCTGCGTAATTAGGGTATCTTAAATGTAATGTTTTATTGTCTAATTATTTTCTTAATTATCCACGATTTGAGAAATGAAATACACAAAAATGAATAATATTTATTAACTAATATATAAATAAATATTGTCATTGACACAATTTTTTTAGAGCAGTTTTTGCAAACTGCATAATTAATTACCATTGTCGATATTTTCATAATTGTAGTAATTATTTATAAATTGAATAAATCAGTCAGATTTACACAATTTGCGTAATTAAGGG